CAACGGGTCACCACGCGAAACCAGGCGCATCCATTCTGACGTCCCAGTTAAGACCCTAAAGCCCAGCCTCGCCAGCTACGGAGTGTGGGATGTTTAGCGAGCTCCAAACACTCATTTGTTCGTGGATGCTCTTATCCCAATTAAGCCACTCAAAACTTTTGAAGTTCATGAGTCATTTGCTTCAAATATCTTTAAATTAGGGATGGATTCACTTCCCTGGTAGCAAACACCCAGCAAGTTAATTAAAAGGGGCTCAGCATTTAAACCACCATCACAGTTTTAAACAGAAGGAGAGGAGCACGTCTCTCCCTATCACAGCTGCTCCTAACTCTCTTCCACTTCTATCCCAGCATTTTGAAATATTTCCCAACATGAGACTTGCTCCCAGGGTTGCTCTGCTACTCAGGTCAGCTGACCATCACTGTGAGAGAAGAGGACACCAGTCTGTCCCTCCTGCTTACAGTGGGACACACCTAAAGGACACTGAAGGCCCCCTGGTGACAAGGACAAAGCAACTTGGAAATCATCCTTGGAAACGCATGAGTGCATCCCAATGTAAAAATTACCAGGCAGGATGGGGATGACATCTGAGCCATCTCTTCCTTGAGCTGCTGGGTGTCACGAATACATGACTGATCCAAATGGGAACACACCTTGAATGACCATTAACGGAGACCTTGCAGGGCTTCGTAGCCCCTCCTGGGTGGTGTACTTTCCAGAGCTAGGAACACGGATAGTTGAGGAAAGCATCAGATGTATCTGAGCAGGCTGGAGAATCTCAGGGTCCAGGGGCCAGCGGGAAGGTCTAAGAATATCAGGTCCCAGAAGTCTTTAATGAGCACTAGCTGTATGCCACGCACCCACAGCCTAGGAGATCCGCGGTGGGCAAATGCAATAACCAAAATCAGCTGGCTTGAATTCCCCACAGCTCCCTTTACGAGTTTTAAGATTAAAGCCCAGGAAATGACTTTGTGTTTTTCTCCCAGGAGACTTTGTGATTCCAGACTCAGAACATGACCAGCAAGAGAGCTGTCACAGGAAGATGGTGCTTCGCTGTGGGGAGTCCTCCTCTCTCGACCTCAAGTGAACTCCTGCCCCATCTGACAGTCACCCTCTGCCAGCACCACGTGAGGCTGGAGCTCAATGCCTCGGTGAACCTAAGCCAGGTGATTTTCCATCCCAAGCAGTTCCTAGCTAATGCCACCTATACCTCCACAAAGAGCACCAAGGTCAGGGACAGGGATGTGGGACTTCATCAAATGATCTCATCAAATGACCCCATAATGGAGCAGTAAATGTAGCAGCAAGCTAGTGGTAGCAAATCATCACAAGAAAAACAATCATTATTACCATCACTATCACCATCACCTCCATCACCACCACCTCCTCCTCATCATCATCACCATGAGCCTCATCACCATCATCACCATCTTCACCATCATCACCAACATCACCACCATCACCATCATCATCATCACCATTACCACACTCATCATCACCATTGTCATCATCACCATCACCATCATCACCATCATCACCACCACCATCATCACCATCATCATCACCATTGTCATCATCATCATCACCATCATCACCATCTTCACCATCATCACCATCATCACCACCATCTCCATCATCATCATCACCATCACCATCATCATCACCACCATCACCATCTCCATCATCATCATCACCACACTCATCATCACCATCATCACCATCTTCACCATCTTCACCATCATCATCACCATCATCATCATCACCACACTCAACATCACCATCATCACCATCTTCACCATCATCACCATCATCATCACCATTGTCATCATCATCATCATCACCATCATCACCATCACCATCACCATCACCATATTAACAGCAGCAAACATGTAATGAACAGCTGTTATGTGTCAGGCACTGACCACCTGGCATACGCTATCTCACTAATCTTTGCAACTTTATAAGGTGGTTAATTCTGTAATTCCCACTGAGGCACACAGAAGGTAAGCAAGTTGCCCAAGTTCACACGGCTAATACAAGAGGAAGCCAGAAATTCGAAGGCAGACACTCTTATCCACTACCTTAAAACTAGGAGAGACTTTCCAATCACTTCATTTATGGGGTGGTCTCTGGGAGACGGGCCGTTTGATGATTCCAGCAGCTATCCCACGTAATATTCACTCCTGAGGGATTTCAGAGTGCCCCAAATCTCCAGCCATCTGCTTTTCTATGCTCACTGGTATCTGTGCTCTGGGCAGATGGGCCAAGGTAACTTTCCCCTTCAAACACCTCTCTACAGAAGCAAAAATAAAAACTCACAACTCCCCAAACCTGATTCCAAAGACATCTCTTTGGACAACAGAACTGACTTAACAAATTCTTCCTATCTTTCCAAAACCTTAATTCTGTCCTTTGGGATGCCCTCAGTGGTGAGTGGGCAGAGCTGGTGTGTCTCAGATGAAAAGACTGCCATGTCCCTGGTGGCTTGTTGCCCCTGACACCTGCAGGCTTCTCCTTGGAGTCCTTCTTGCTGGGTATAGAAGCACCTGGCATGGTCGCAGGGTTCTTAGTTCATGCTTGATGTTGTTCTACCGAATCCTCACGACAACCATTTGGAAGAGATATTTCTAAGCTTTAATTTTTCTGGTGAAGAAAATGAAGCCAAGAGCGAAGAGAACGTCCCTAGGGTCACACAGCTACCTGCAGCTGAGTCCGGATTCGCAGGCGGTCTGCGGCTTGCAAGCGCATACGGCATGCCCAGCCTCCTGGACCACCGCGCTGGGATCCCCAAGACCACCCTTGCCGCCTTAATCCTGCCTGAGAAGGGTGAGCAGCAGAAGTGCTCCACAAAGAGTTGAGAGCCCAGGTCTATGTGTGGTGACTGCCAGGACAAGGGGGATTTATGGGGCTCCCGTCAGGGCCCTGAGTGGCTTGGGTCACTTTTGTGGGATCAGCTGAGCTGTGACGGACCTAGTTAGAGGTGTCACCTCAGCACTTCCCGTCTTGCCTTGCCTTGGCCTGGATGCCGAAACCTGCTGGCGCCCCTTCTCAGCATCCAACATCACTTCCCAGAATTAACATTTCTCTACACCAAAAGCAAACACATGTATTCCCGCCCCCCTTTAAATTTGTTTTGCTAAACAAATTAATCTAGTACCAGATTATATTATGAAGAACCATAAATCTTTTCCAAGATAAGCATCTGTCGAGTTGGATTAGCAACATCCATTGTACTGTGAATTAATTTGCTGAGCCTTCTAATGCTGTCCCAAGCATTTAACTTTAGTAATAACAAATGTAATTTGGAATAAACGGGAACTTGTTTTCTCGTCCGTGCCTGTATAGTTAAGTGACGTGTGTAGAGGGTATGACAGTAAATGAATGCAGCACTAAATTCTATTATGATGATGGCTTGTGAGTTTATTGAGGTAAAAACAAATGCTTTCGTAAACTGCTTTCGGGCACCTGGCGCAGACGTGATGGACGGCAGGCTGTGTGTGCACAGGTTCTGGACAAAGGCTGGCCGGGAGACAACCCGCGACCCCCTGCAGACCTTCTCCCCCCGTGCTCCAAGCTCACAGCCTCCGCCCCTGGGTCTGGGTCTGGCCCTGGCCCCTGGCGTTGAGGTGGAGCTGGGTTTGCTTTCAGAGATCTGTTGCTCTATAGGGAAGAACTGCTCAAATACAAAAACTGCAGTTCTCTCGTCCAGGTGAAGGAAGGAAGTAGGTCATGGAACAAAAGCCACCCACTCTATGAAAACCTATCCAACTCCTGACCACGGCCAGACGCAGCCTCATGCGGATGCAGCCTGCAGGAAAAACTATGCTGCCGACAGACCCTGGGCAGCAAGTCTCTTCTGTCCGGGGTCCTGAAGAGGGCCTGCATGGGGACAATGGACCCCGAGGCCTCAGGACGTGGAGAAGCAAACAAACAGGGCGCAGAGGCCACGCGGCAGCCCCACCCCTTCGTGCCAACACCCTGGACTTCACATCCCATTTTAAGAGCTAGCCAACCCTGCGGCTCGTCTGGGATGTGCGTACCCAGATCTGATCTGTGAACATCCTGCTCCTGGTGGGGCGTGGGGTCGTGGCCTGTTCCCAGAAGCAAAGGGGACCAGAGGTGGGCTGGAGCACAGGGGTCCCGGACTCTGCACACGCCCTCAGCCTGGGGACGTGCCTGTGGCTAGCCCTGGAAGGACGGGCTGTGGCCTGGGAGATTTTCAAGGGCCACTCCTTTAGAAGCAACTGGAAGAGGAGGTAGAGGAGAAGAAAGACAAAACTACGTTGCAGTAGATATTTCACGGTAACTGTCCATATGCACCCAGAGCAACGGGCAGAGGACCCAGAGCCGTTTGTTCTGACCCCGTCCCCCAAACACCTGCGACATCGCCTCCAGGGAAGATACTCCCCAACCCGAGCCAGTTTGCAGAGGCTCAGCAAACAACCACAGGAAGTTCTTCCTTATACCTGACCTAATCTCTTCTGCTGCTTAAAGTGATCCCTAATTCTGGGCCAATGTGGCAGTCGCCCCTCCACAGGCCACAGCCTTGAAGGTTTTTGGGTACTCTACTTGGGCCCTAATTCCACCAGCAGGAGTGTCCGCATCTCACTGCCAGGCTGGCCCAGAGGTCGAGGTTCTACCATTTGGGAAGACGTGGCTCTGTGCCTGGAGGGGTCTGGACGCCCATGACACAGGCAAGGCGGGCACAGCGTCTCCTTCTAGGCCACCACTATGGAGAGACCCTGTCCCGTCTCCCTTCCACCAGCCAGAAGGGCTTGGCTAGAGCACAACCCGCAAGTCCACAGACACACATGCCCCCTCTGTCCCCAAGGCCGCCACCCAACCGTCAGCACTCTGCCGTTGTTAGGTTTCTGCCGCTGAGAAACAGGGAGGCCTGCCACGCAGTGTCACCGGGCACAGCACGGCATCCTTCGTGAGCCACACCCCCAGGTGTCCTCCCCCCACCAACCGAACCCCAAGCAGAAAAGAGGTGGGTGTACCTGAGGTCTCCCCCAGAATCCGTGGGGGCTTGACGTCTTCACCATCGTCTTTGCTGGGACTGGTGGAAGGCTCTGTTGTGCTAACCCCAACCGGGATCCTATTCCTCGGGCCCAGGGGCTCAGTGACCCCCTTAGTCTGCAGCGTCGTGGAGGTGGCCGTGGTGGCGGGGGCGGTGGTGGTGGCCACAGTTGTCTTCTGTGTCTGTGGGATGGAGGCCGTGGTGGGGCCGTAGAGCCCTGGAAATGTGTTGGATTCCGGGGCCTCCTCCTCCCCCGTGGGGCCCCAGGCGATGAACTCCGTCTCTGTGGTGGGCCTGCTGCCCCGGAAATCAAAACCGCTGAAGCCAGCCCCCTGCAGGTGCCTCTTCTCCCTCCGCAGGAGGGCCTGCTGGTCCGTGGTGGCCCCGCTGCCCGCTGCGGGGGACGGGGACGACGAGGAGGAGCCAAGGGAAGGGCTGGATTTGGCAGCGGCTGGGGGCTTGGCGAGCCCCCCTCTGGGCACCAGGGCGGCCACCTGGTCCCTGGGTCTGTGCGCCCGTTTGGCGCGCGGGCTCGGCACCTGCCCGTGGCTGCGCTCCACGCGGGCCGGGCGCGGGCTCCACACGGGCACGGGGATGCGCGCCGCCTGTCCGCTCTTCAAACTCCACAGCCGGGGCGGCCGCTGCGGCGGCCGGGGAAGGAGCCGGAAGTCGGGGCCCGGGCCCAGGGACTCACACGAGGGCAGATCCATGGCGAGCTGAAACATGGCTATAAGTATCCAAGCATGGCTTCCTAGGGAGCAGCCCGGCCAGCGGATGGACATGGAACTGCGTGGAAAAGAGAGAGCAGTGTCAGGTGGGGGCTCTGGGGGCTCCGCCGGCGGTCCCTCCACCCCCACCAGGACACGGAAGCGCTCTTCTGGTTATGAGCGCTAATCCTAACTTCAGAAGGGAAACCGAAACCCTCCATTAGCTGACTTCACAGCCCTGCTGCAGTGCCACCTCTTCATCAGCATCTTAGAAGCCCTGTCCCCCATGCACCTGCTCCCAGGAGCCGGTTCCCCCGCCTGCACCTCACATCTCTTCCCAGGAGCATGCAACGCACATGGCTGGTTGACATGATGCAGGAGGGAAACCGAGTCTCAAAACCCCCAGCTCAGCCGACAAGATGACCTCAAACACCTTCTGTTCCCCACTCGGCTTCTGCCCGGAGTTCATGAAACGGAGACATGGAGAGGACGTGAGGTAAGACGACGGCAGAGCTGGGGGCTCGGGTCACCCCTGGGTCCAGGGCTGAGCACCTTCCTCTGTGTCACAGAACTTACAGACCCAAGGTGTGTGTCTCCCTGAGGCCTGCGAGGACGGGGGTTCCACCCTCCGTGTGGCTGAGCCCGCCGGACTTCACGGGGGGCCCGAAGGCCAGGCATCTCCCGGGCCCCCGCCCCATGCTGTGGTCCGCAAACCCCACCCCCACCTTCTCAGGCAAATGTGCGTATCTCACAGCAGGCTGTGGCCTCGGATGCCGTACGCTAAGAAAGCTTCTTATTTTTGGCCTCCTCTGGATTTTGTTCAGGAAAATGAGATCTGCTGTGGATAAGCTGGAAGTTTATTGATGCACCAGCCCTACCCAAGTGCTGTTCTGTTGACATTTCGGCTTCCCCTATTTATCTTCAGCACAGGTGCCCTTTGAAACCCCATCATCCACCTGCTCAGCTCCAGGCTCGGCTGGAGAAGGGCAAACCCCACACGACCCGGGGAAGATGGTGGGGGGCTGGGTGCACGGAGCATCACGTGAGCACTCAGAGCGCGGCAGACAGACCCGGGCAGGGCTTGGTGTCCCCGGGGCCCACGCTCCCTCTCCAGCTTAGGTAATTGAGGACTGGGTGCAGGCGCCGTTCGAAGTCAGTACTCGTCCCCGGCGTCACGTCTGAAAATTGACACGGATCCAGAATGTGAGTGGCTGGTGCGGGTGGGGGCGGGTGAGGGCGTTGGGTGCGCCGAGCCGCCAGCCTGGAAAGCTGCTCAAGACCAGCCCCGTAGAAAAAAAAAGGCCTGGCAGTTTTTCTTTATGAGGTTTCGCGTGACTTTAAAAGGGAATAAATCAGTGAGTGAGCAGTGTGTGGTGTGTGAGTCATGTGCGCGTGCACGCACGGGAGTGTGTCTCAGGACTGCGTGCCGCTGATGTGTGATAGCACGTCAGTGCCTGTGAAAGACAAATGTACAAGTGGGTGTGAGTGTGTCAGCAAGCGTGTAAGAGCGCGAGGCTGTGGGGGGTGTCTGTGTGCCCATCTGTCACATATGCGTGTTTGTGCATGTGCGGGTGTGGCCGAGTGTGGGGTTCATGTCAGTGAGCGTGAGTGTGTCAGTGAGTGTGCAAGAGTGTGAGTCTGTTGTGAGGCGGTCTGTGTGTCACATATGCACATGTGTGTGCATGTGCGGGTGTGGCCGAGTGTGGGGTCTGCATGCCGGTGTGTGTGTGTGTCAGTGAGTGTGCAAGAGTGTGAGTCTGTGGGGGTGGTCGGTGTGCCTGTCACATATGCATATGTGTGTGCACGTGCAGGTGTGGCCGAGTGTGGGGTCTGCATGTCGGTGTGTGTGTCAGTGAGTGTGCAAGAGTGTGAGTCTGTTGTGAGGCGGTCTGCGTGTCACATATGCACATGTGTGTGCATGTGCGGGTGTAGCCGAGTGTGGGGTCTGCATGTCGGTGTGTGTGTGTCAGTGAGTGTGCAAGAGTGTGAGTCTGTGGGGATGGTCTGTGTGCCTGTCACATATGCATATGTGTGTGCATGTGCGGGTGTGGCCGAGTGTGGGGTCTGCATGTCGGTGTGTGTGAGTGTGTCAGTGAGTGTGCAAGAGTGTGAGTCTGTTGTGAGGCGGTCTGTGTGTCACATATGCATATGTGTGTGCACGTGCGGGTGTGGCCGAGTGTGGGGTCTGCATGTCGGTGCACGTGTGTGTGCACGTGTCTGTGTGTGAGCCCCCCCTCGTTCTGCACTGAGCCCCACGTGCCCGGGGCCGCCTCTTCTCTGGTGGGTAGTTAGGCACGTGCCGCTCCCTGCCTGTCATCAGGATGTGGAAAGGAAGAAACTGGTATTAATGAGTGCTAATTACCGAAAAGGACTAATCCCCAAATAAAAAGGGCCCAGTTTTTTAATCAGAATGAAAGTGCTTTGCTGCAGAAATTAGGAATCGCTCATTATGCTAATGCCTCTGCACCGAGTTTCTGCCGGTGTGCAATTTCTCTGCACAGCCCGCCAAGCTCTGTGCAGGGACCAGGGCCTCTGTCACCCCACACAGAAATTTAGGTCAGTGCGAAACATCCCCGTGCCCACGGAAAGCACGGCTCCTGTGGCCACAGGTGGTTCAGTGAGGATGGATGGTTTAGACCCTCTGGTTCCCCCACCACTCTGCATGTTTGGATGGGAGCCCAGCCCCCAGGAAGTGGGACACTTCTTTAAGCAAGAGCGGTGCTCAGCCCAGAAGGCCCTACCAGGCCCCACCAGGTCCTACCAGGCAACACCAGGCCCCACAAGGAAACACTAGGTCCCACCAGGTCCTACTAGGCAACACCAGGTCCCACCAGGCCCCATGAGGCTCCACAAGGTCCCACCAGGACACCCCAGGCCCCATCAGGTCCCACCAGACCTCACTGGATCCCACCAGACAACACCAGGCCCCTCAGGTCCCACGAGGCAATGCCAGGCCTCACCAGACCTCAACAGGCCTCATCAGACCTCAGCAGACACAACCAGGTCCTACTGGGTCCCCCAGCACTACCAGGCCCCACCAGGCCCCATCAGGCCCCACCTGGCCCCACCAGGTATCACCTGGCCCCACCAGGCCCCACCAGGCCCCACCAGGCCCCACCAGGCCCCATCAGACCCCACCAGGCCCCACCAGACCCCACCAGGCCCCACCAGGCCCCATCAGGCCCCACCTGGCCCCAGCAGACCCCACCAGGCCCCACCAGACCCCACCAGGCCCCACCAGGCCCCATCAGGCCCCACCTGGCCCCAGCAGGTATCACCTGGCCCCACCAGGCCCCACCAGGCCCCACCAGGCCCCATCAGACCCCACCAGGCCCCATCAGACCCCACCAGGCCCCACCAGACCCCACCAGGCCCCACCTGGCCCCACCAGGCCCCACCTGGCCCCACCAGGTACCACCTGGCCCCACCAGGCCCCACCTGGCCCCACCAGGTACCACCTGGCCCCATCAGGCAGGCTGAATGAAGAGCAGCCACGGGTGAACCCGAGTGCCATCAGTACTTGGAGAAATATTGCCCCAGGAAATTAAAACCGCAGACCCCAGCCTGTGCTTGCCTGCCTGCCCCAGCATAACTTCACATACAGGATATTTCTGTCATTTTTCACCAATCATGAGCTGTAACTGGTTACCATAGAAACCCCCTCATTTCCACGCCACCTGGCTGTTATGCAGAAAAACCAACGGATCGCAAGAGCGAGGAGAGCTTGCTTTGTTTCTCTTCGAGTCCAGTTTCTTCCTTCTTAAAGTGATGGATTGGTCCAGAGAGGGAATATTAGGAGGGCGCGGGGACAAGTCAGGACAGAGGCTCCTCCCCACCGCCAGCCGCTGGGACACGCCGGGCCAGCGTCTGGGGCAGAGAGATCCCCTCCTGTAGGGAGGTCGGGGGCCGATTCTGTGGCCTGCAGGGGCCGGCGGTCTCTCCACGGGGTCGAGGATCCCAAGCCTGGACCTTCAGGCTCCCGAGGTACACGCACAGCACTTGTCGGGATGACGCTGCGTCCTGCCATCAGGGGATCCAGCCACGCGTGCGAGGACCACATGAGGGGCACCGCGGGACCTCTCTCTCCATCCTTCCAGCTGGCCCGGGAGGCCTCAGTTCTGGCCACAGCCCTCCTGCCCAGGGAAGGCGCCGTGGCGCTGTCAGCCACTTCCCACGGGGATGGAGGGCCCCCCCAGGTGCGGGAGGGAGGCCCTGTGGCTGTCAGCCCCCCTGCTAGCCATCAGAGTTGCCACGGGACACCCCAGGGAGGCCAGGCCACAGCGCAGGCAAGCAGAGCCGATGCCAGCCCCCCCAAACCTCGAGGGCATCCACGGGCCCCATAACAACACGCCCCCACCTCACACCCACGAGGACGGCTACAAGCACGAAGCCAAGTCCAAGTGCTGGCAAGCACGTGGGGACATGGCAACTCGTGCACGCAGTCAGTGGGAACGGAAAAGGGTGTTGCCGCTAGGCAAAACAGCTCAGCCGTTCCTCAAAGACTTAGTTCCCGGACGTCCCTGCATTTCCACTCTTGGGTATAAACATGAGTCCACACAAAAATGTGTGCACGAATGTTCACAGCAGCGTTATGCATGATAGCGGAAAGCAGAAACCGGCCCCAGCGTTCATCAGGTGGATGGATCAGGAAAATGCGCTCTGTCCCTACAGGGGAACGTTCTCGGGCCTTAAAAAGGACAGAAGCATCAACACATGCAGCAACGTGGATGGAGCTTGAACACAGTGCGTGAAGGAGAAGAAGCCAGTTACATCAGGCTACACGCCGTCCGAAACGCCCGGAATCGGTGAATCCGTAGAGACGGGGAGTAGATTCCTGGTTGCGGGGGCGCTGGGGGAGGTGACTACTAGTGGTTATAGGATTTCTCTTAGGGGTGACAGGAATGTTCTGGAATTGATAGTGCTGATGGTTGCACAACCTTGTGAATACATTAAAACCACTGAACTTCACCCTATGGGGAGTGAATTTAGGGTACGTCCATTGTAGCTCGAGAAGCGGATGTGTTCGGGGGTGGAGAGACCAGCCTGGGGTGGATTGCATGGCCTCCTGCTCTGGGTGCG